TAATTGTGGTTAGCTTCCCAGCTCGCATACTCGTACATTCAATGTACTGATGCCAGTTGGCTTGCATCGTCTTATGATGCAGACGCAGGTAACCAGGATCAGCAACCAGCGCCTCGTTGATCAGGTTGAGCACTCAGAGTCCTTGCATTCCGGAGGACTCTTTTATCATTTGCTTTCTAGTTTTTAGTTGTTAGGATGATCGGGGGTCCTGTCCTGACATCCCTCTTTGTTTTAGAGGCTTCATAGACAGACAGTTAGTAGTTCAATTTTCTTTGCATTATCATTTCATATGTTAAGACTTGAGGAGCCATTTTGGCCAAGTTGAATGTTTGAATTTTTAAGCATTCTCAATATTTTATTATTCAAGTGAGTATAATGCTATTGATCATTATAAATATGCATAGAGTCTTCCGCTGAGTAAGTAAGCTAGGACAAGGGTTCGCTTGGGGCCGACAATGGTTCTTGAGTGCCGGCCAGGTCCGAGGTGTAGGCTCGGGGCATGACAAACTTGGTATCAGAGCACAGAGTTCAAGAGTGCTAGGGAGTCTATGAAACCGTGTCTATAGAGTCCTAGTTATCGGTGTGAAGCGTGCCACATCTATAATTAGGAGGGTGCAACATTTAGGAATTCATTCACTTCTTTCATACTCACTTCGTGCGATAGAGCGTATCTCTATAGAAGTCTCTTTCTAACTCGTGCTTACACGTAATCGATTTTGAGCTAGCCTATGGTCGAGAGTGCCTTCATGAGGCGTTCCTTTTCTCGTGAGCTAAGAGAAGCAAAGAGATGGTTGCTGACATGAGGAGCAGGATGAGTTTATTCGTAGTTGGGTTGACTCGTCTGTCACGTAAGGAAAGTAAGGCAGTCATGTTACTAGCTGACATGGGCATAGCCAGGCTGATGATCCATGTGTAACAAGTTGAGGAGGACAAGATGAAGGATAGAGAAGGGTTTAAGAATAAGAGGGCTAAGGTATCAGGGAATGAATCCGGGCTGCAAAAGAGTAATATGAAATGGTCTTCTTTCTAACATAAGCAGAAAGGACCTGCTCCATCATCTGCTAGTGCACCTGCACCAAGGAACGAATGTGAGTATAATAGTCAAAATTCTCAGAACTTCAGAGCTAGACCTGAACATTCGCAAGGTAGTAAGGCACAAGGGGATACTAAGACTCCTGCATGTGCTAAGTGTGGTAAGACCACTCAGGGATATGTTGTGATGGCTCCACTGGTTGTTTCAAGTGTGGTTAGAATGGGAATGTTATGAGAGAGTGTCCTAAGAGTAGACAGAGTAATGGTAATGGGGGCAATAGAGCCCAGTCTTCTTCAGTTTCTCCACCAGATAGAACTGCATCTAGATGAGCTACTTCAAGGGTAGGCGGAGAAGGAAACCGTCTTTATGCTATCACTAGTCACCGAGAGCAAGAGGATTCGCCAGATGTTGTCACTGGTATGATCCAAGTCTTTAATTTTGATGTTCTTCCTGAGAAACTTCTTGAGCCTTTAGTGTTTCTACACCTGATGGTGAGTCTATTCTAGCAGAAAGAGTCTATCGTGATTGTTCNNNNTTCCGTCAATCACAAGAGAACCATGGCTGATTTAGTTGAGTTAGACATGGCAGAGTTTGATGTTATTCTAGGTATGGACTGGGTTCATGCCTGTTATGCATCAATAGATTGTAGAACTCGAGTAGTCAAGTTCCAGTTTCCAGTGAGTCAGTTATAGAGTGGAAGAGCAGTTCAGCAGTGCCTAAGGGTCGTCTTATTTCGTACCTTAAGGAAAGAAAGTTAGTTCCCTAGGGGTATGTCTATCACTTAGTCCGAGTTAATGACTCTAGTGTTGAGATACCTCATATTCAGTCAGTTTCATAAAAGAGTTTCCAGAAGTCTTTCCAGATGATCTTCCCGGAGTCCCTAATGAGAGAGAAATAGACTTCGGTATAGATACTATTCCTGACACTCGTCCTATATATATTCCGCCATACAGAATGGCACCAGCAGAGTTAAAAGAGTTGAAGGAGCAGTTGAAGGATCTCCTTGATAAGGGTTTCATTCGACCAAGTGTCTCATCTTGGGGCGCTCCGGTCTTATTTGTGAGAAAGAAAAATGGTTCCCTTAGGATGTGCATAGATTACTGTCAGTTGAACAAGGTTACAATCAAGAATAAGTATCCTCTTTCGAGAATTGATGATCTATTCGATCAGCTTCAGGGTGCTTCTTGTTTTTCTAAGATAGACCTCAGATCTGGCTACCATCAGTTGAAAGTAAGGGAATGTGATATTCCCAAGACAACATTCAGGACCCGTTATGGTCACTATGAGTTTCTAGTCATGTTGTTCGGTTTAACCAATGTACCTGCAGCGTTCATGGACCTTATGAATAGAGTATTCAAGCTTTACTTAGATATGTTTGTTATTGTATTCATTGATGACATTCTAATCTATTCGAGGAATGAAGAAGATCATGTGAGTCATCTCAGAATAGTTCTCCAGACTTTAAATGATATAAATTGGTTGTTTGAACGTGGAGAAAATATACTAAATTTTTTGTTCATAAGAATGAACGGATATGGTGAAGAAGAAGAAGAAATAGAAATAGCCTAATTTCTATGGGATATAAATTAAAATGACTTTGCTAAAAATAAAGAAGTCACTAGTCATTTATATAAATAAATAAATAAATAAAAAGGTTGTCCTTTACCAATCAGAATTCTCCTTTTTTTTGGCTTGTAGTACTATAGTAGTACAACTCTTCCTTTTTTAAAGAAAAAAAAGGAAGAAACGTGTAGGGCCACTATGAAAAAAAAAATTGATTATGTTGTACTTGTTATGAGAAAGAAATAGTACTCTTTTTTTGTTGAATGAGTCAATGTGAATTTTTTTATTATTATTATTTAATTGATTTTGTTGTACTTGTTCTGAAAAAATAGTAGTACTCTCTAATTTTTGTTTGTTGAATGAGTCAACATGGGATTTAATTATTATTTTTTAAAATAATTATTATATTTTTTAAAGGGATTAATACAGTACTAAAAAAGGTTGGTAGTTTATAAATAACCATATGTTCTTATATGTGTGGAAATATATTATGGTTTTGAAAAATAATTAAATTGATCTTGTAATAATTCTCATTGGAGTAATTTCTTTTTTTTATATAAATCTTTTTGTCTTCTACCAGAAATTTGTGACATATGTTGTCACATTAAATGGTATTTAACCATATTTTTGATTTTTTATTTCCATTTCAGATATGGCTGAACGGAAACATGCTCAAATTGCTCCAAGTGGGAGTGGTACTAATAGAGGAGAAAAAAGAAATGGTAGAAGGATGCGACACAAAAGGATCAAAATAGAAAATGATTCAGATTCAGAGTCAGAAGTCATAGGAAATGATTCAGATTCAGAGTCAGAAGTCATAGGAAATGATTCAGATTCAGAGTCAGAAGTCATAGGAAATGATTCAGATTCAGAGTCAGAAGTCATAGGAAATGACTCAAGGTGTAATGACCTATTCCCGTCGTTATAGAAAAACCAACGGGGGAAAATTTTGGGCCGGAAAACTTTTTTGTAATAACTTGTAATTTCCCAACCTAGTCCAGATTTGGATGAAAACAGAGTCAGTAAGGTCTAGGAATATCTGGTAACAATTGAGTGGTCTAATTATGATTCTGATCACATGAGTGGATAGCTAAGACGTTAAGGAACCCGTACGACTTTATGGAATTGAATTCCGGCGAGTAAAACTTCCGGAATTGATCTTGGCTTTTACAGGTAGTTTCTGAGTATCATGGGATGAAGGTGTGTTGTGAAATGGGAGTTTGGAATTCTCAAATAGACTCACTGGTTCCGTGCAAGCCGATGTGGCGGAATTATTCCCGCCAGGGCGGGGTCGCTGTAGCGGGGTGAGGACCATTGTGGCGGGACAATCGCGATTTAAGTAAAAAATAAACCCCAAAACCATTTTATTCTGCAAGTTTCGACCTTGAGAGCTAGGAGACGACCCCAGGTGCTTTCTTGATAGTTTTCCACCATTCTTGAGGCTAAAGGTAAGGTTTTAACTCCCCGAATCCATTTTCTATCCGTAGAATGTAAATTCGTGTGTGATTATCGATGAGGGAGAGTTTTAATCTAGAAATTATGGTGGAAAAATCCCTAATCTGTATATGGGGATCAAGGGTTTGATCTAGGGTTGATAATTATTGATTAGAATCCAAGTAATTAGGTCTTGTTTATTGATCCTCATATTATTATGATTGTTTGTAGACCAAGAACAAGCGGAAAGAATCCGTAAAGGTAAGAATCAAGTTTCTAAGGGGATTCAAGCTTTGTTCGAGGTAGGTGATGGCTGTGATATCATGTTGTGTGATGTATGTTTGTTCTTGCTTCATTATAAAACGTGTATGTATGTGAATGTTGCATTATTGATCACACTAGTCATAAATGAGGATGATTGAATAATTGTTTGCCATGAAATCATGACTTGATTGTATGATTATGAGAAAATACTTGTGATTGTGATTGTGACTTGTTGAATGTATCGGGTGTTGCATTCTGACACACTAACTTGGATCGGTTGCCACGTTCCGGCATAAATATGTGATCGGTTGCCATGTTTCGGCATAAACATTGAATCAGGTACCATGAACTGGTATACTAATAGTTTGGGTTTGGTTCCATGAGAGAATCATTGACTTGAAATAATTGTATATCTTGAAAATTGTGAAATGCTCTGTTGTTCGTAAGTGATGTTGATATTATATATGTTCGGTGTATGCATGTTATTATTATGTTGTAATAGCTTATGTATGTTGCACTTAGTGGGATAGCCGCGTGATCCTACCAGTACACAGTGGTTGTGTACTGATACTGCACATGCTTTTTCTTTGTTGAATACAGGGCATCTTTCGGCGGCTATTGACATACCTCATTTAGAAGATCAATCACCGTTTTGACGATTCGAATTGGTATCTAATCTCCTTCACTCTTCTTTCTAAAGATGGTTAACACTAGGTTCAACGGCGTCAAGCCCGTAGCTCCCGTCAATGCTCCAGCTGAGGAATCTGCAATAAGAGGTCACAGTCGAGGCAAGGGTAGAGGAAGAGCTAGGGGTAGAGGCCGAGGAAGAGTGGCGCCTAATAGGGTTGGAGCACCGGTTGGAGATGCTCCCATAAATGTGGCCCCTCCTGCGCACCATAAAGAGGTAGAGGAGAATGTTGGACAAGAGGAAGAGGTACAGGCTGATACTACATGTATTCCTCCCTTAGACCAACTGTTGGCTCAATAGATCATGTCGTTCTTGAAAGGATTGGTTGGTCCTGGAGTGTTTTCCTATGTTCAAGCAACTCAAGCTCCAGCCAATCCCCCTATTGCTATCACTGTCCCCAAGGTGGATGGAACTGTAGGTAATGATGCTTTCTTCCGTCCTTTGTTGGGTCCTGTTATGACTGATAATGAGCACGAGATGTTGACTAAGTTCTTGAAATTGAAACCGCATGTGTTCCATGGTTCTGAGAGTGAGAACGCATATGAGTTCATTTTATATTGCTATGAGAGGCTTCATAAGTTGGGAATTGTCTATCAGCATGGAGTTAAGTTTGTGACTTTTCAACTTCAAGGATAGGCTAGGTAGTGGTGGAGAGCTTATGTGGAATGTAGATCTTCAATTTTACCTCCACTCACTTGGACCCAATTTCATGCTCTGTTCTTGGAGAAGTATGTGCCTCGGACTTTGAGAGATCGTAAGAAGGATGAGTTCATGGCTTTGGAGCAAGGTGGTATGTCTGTGGCTGCTTTTGAGGCCAAGTTTCATACCTTGTCTAGATATGCTACGCAATTGGTGACTACTGAGAAAGAGAGGATCCGTCTATTTGTTAAGGGACGAAACTCAGAGTTACAAGTATTGTATGTTCACATGACCTTTGCAGGAAAAAGCTTCGATAAGGTAACGGATTTATTGAAGAAAGTAGAGGGGGTGAGGCGAGACGGTCAGGCTAAGACATTGGCTAAGAAAACCAAGACTTCAAGCAACTTTCAGGGTTCTTACTCCAGAGGTTCGGGAAGGCCGACTCTTGCAACCCGACTAATTCACTCCGCTATGCCTGCTTCTACAGGTAATTACTCCAGAACTCCACCTCAGAATTTGATTCAGGATAGCCAAGGAGCCGCACCTTCGGTGGGCATCATGCCATCTTTTGATCGTACATGTTACAACTATGGAGAACCTGGGTATATGAGGAGAGATTGTCCCCACCCGCGCATGTTGGATTCTGTTCAGCAGCAGTCTAGAGCAGTGGTACCCGCGGGAAATGGTAATAATTGTCAAGGGCGTCCACAAGGTGGGCGAGGTGGAAATCAACGAGGTCGCAGAGGTAGGGGAAATGGTAACGCAGGTAGAGATGCAGTGCAGCCAGGCAAGGAAGTCTCCCGTCATGATGACAGGGCTCAGTTTTATGCCTTTTGATATACCGTGAGTTTACGGTATTTCTAATACGTTTCACTTACAAGTTGTGTGTGTCTAAGGCCCTTTTATATTGGTTTTGATGTGTTTTTATCATGTTTTGCAGGAAAGACAATCAGAGGTGATCTACGGACCGTAGGTCCATTCACGGTCCGTAGGTGATGACCGTAGATCAGCAGGCAAGGCATGGAGGACAAATCAGGGAAATCTGACCAAGTGTGGAACCACGGCGTCTATTGACGGTCCGTAGATACTGTTGATCCGTAGAATGATACTGCGAGGGTTCCAGTACCTGATTTTTGAAGATTATAAGTGTGAAGCTACGAAGGGGATTGACGGACCGTGCTGTTGGTCCGTCGTTTGCTTCAGAGAAGCTGATTTTTGGAAGCTGAAATATTTTCTAAGTCCTGACTGACGGAAGGGACTTACGGACCGTAGATCCATCGACGGTCCGTAAGTCGGTCTCGTGGATTGAGATGCGTACCTGAACAGAACTTTCCTTAATTCATTTCCCTTTT